GGGGTCTACATGAAGTTTCCCCTCCTAAGTTGATAATAGCATGTAGCTTTCAGGAACCATATTTGAAACTAAACAAATAAACTAAACACATCACAAAATAATATCACAGTAAAATAAAGGTTACTTGGACCCATAAAATAGAACTATTGCAATGTATATCATTCAACAAAGCATTCATGTTAAAAAGGGGTTCTTGAATCCAGAGGTACAAAGTAAAGAAATAGTAAACTTAATATAAAAAAGAACATATCAAAAGACAAAAAAAGATTACAGTAGGGTACCCCGGGGCTCGGCTAGACCGGAAAGAGAAGAACAAAAACCGTCGGGCCGGTCGGGCGCCGGGAGGAGCGGGGAACTGCCCCCACCCTGCCCCGCTCCTCCCCGCGCCCAACGATTTTTGTTCTTCTCCTTCCGGTCTAGCCGAGCCCCGGAGTACCCTATAGTAAGTGTTCTTATTTGTTCCTTTTCTCGAACTGTTCAGATAATTTCGGAAAAGCCTGTGCAAGGGTTTCTTGTGCTTCTACTCGACGAGTATTGCGGTCAAGTTTGCGAAGTGTAGCTGAAACTCTTGGCTTCTATGGTGGATCATCTTCACAGTCCCTAGATCGTTGATGCACCTTGTGCTGAACACCAGCTGAAAAGGTGAACTTAGGATAGGGTGTTTCAAAAATAACAGATTCGAGGGAGAAGTCGATTTTTTGGTGTGCCATTGTTTATAGAGCACAAATTGTCCGATCGAGCTCACACTTGTTGTGTGATGATGGTGCGGCTATCGCATGAACCTCCAGTTTTGAGCTCGGGCAACTAGAACCTTATCAAAAAAATTCGTAAAGTTGAAAATTTACCTGTATTTACGAACTAAATGTTTAGAGTAGTCAGCAAAATAGTAAAAGTCAATTGTTTTCAAAGTTGGAGGTTCATGCGATAGCGGCAAGTGTAAGGTACATGCAGACCCATGAGTTGGCCTGATCGGACCATTTGAAGGTAAGTTATCGTGTACGCAGTGCGGCAACGACACTCGCGACACATGATGGTTGGTGGGCCGTTTCGCTGGCATGCGTGGGGGTTCGGGCAACTTCTTGGCATTTTTGGACACAGAAAGTTACGTACTTTTACCCCCCCCCCCCCAACCTAGTTTCCCCCCACTTGCTTCCATTTCTTAAAAGAAAAATCGCGAAAAACACGTATTTTTACGCCTGCTGCACTAGGATGCCCCCTTAATTTGGTGACGTTTTCGTCGCCTTGGCGGCAACAAATACGTCACCAAATAAGGTGACACCGAGGGTGACAAATTTTTGGATGAGGGGCGGCGGCAGCAGCGGGAGCGGCGGCGGGGGAGGCGGCGGCGTCAGCGGCAGGGCAGCTGGCCGCTTTTTCTGAGCCTCAGTGACCTTAAAACATTGGGTGTGGTTGGAGAAGGCGGGACAGCTGGCATGGATTCCTTAGGGCGCAGTGGAGGGAGGGGCCGCGGACGCCTGGAACTACCTACTCAAGGTATTTCCTTTTTTATTCACTCTTTTCCTCCCTTCCCATCATGTTTCAAGCATTCGTTTACCATGAGCTAACAAAGCAGAAGGGAGGGCTAAAAAGAACGAGTTTTCCTCTGTGTTGCTTAATTTAGCATCATCTCTTGATCTCTATGAATATGAGAATTTCTAAGTGTTTCTCGGTTCATTCATGTGAGACCCCACTTGATCTTGGTCAATGTCAAAATTGCCAAACCAGAAATCCATTCATTAAATTTTTTAAGAATGGGGGGAACTGAACCAATAAGAAATGTTTAATGGGGCAGCCTTGTTGTGGTGGTCGCATTTAGAAAATGATTGTGCATAACTATATTCCGTGTTTCTCTTTTGACTGAAATTGCATTCTTTAAAGTTGTTTCACATTGAATAACTTGCCAGTTCATTATTTTTAGCCCACCATTCTGCTTTGAAAACCTTGATGCACGATTATCAAAACAACCTGGCACGTTTCTTGAGTATTCATTGCTGAAACCATTTGGAACTTTTCAGGTGTCAGGCCAGCAGGACCCACCTCCACCCCCACCTCCATGGCATGGAGGGAGAGGTTCTTGAGCAGCCAGCCTGGTCCATCGAGTCCCTCCACTCCCTCTGCGTCGGCGGCTTCACAGCCGTTGTCGTGGAGGGAAAGGTTTTTATTGTCGTCTTCAGCAGGGGAAGCTGGCTGCTCCAGCAGCCCGTCATCCACCACTCCTGCCAACGGAGGTAAGGGCTTCATTATCATTTCTGTTTTGGTGGGTTACACCATTATTTCTACTCGAAAGAATTCTGGCGGGGACTCTGATTTGTAACACTTGATGAACGGGATGGGAATGACCTTTGCCAGAATGCTGGGCAATACTACTTCATGTTTGCCAAACATTAAATTTGTGTTCCCTGAAACGCTTCTTAATATCTGGGACAAAATGTGGATACAGCAAACTTATTTTGCTGTAGAAAAGAAATCTCATGTAAGGGTGTTTTATCTCTTAACTTTTTTTTTTATAATCAATTATGTTGAAAATTGGCCAGTGACAGTGTACGCAGAATTTTCATGGAGCACTACAGGCTTTTGGGAAATCTGTAAGGTCTTTGACGATTTAATACTCAACTACAAGACATTGTGAAATCGAGTTTACAGTATAGATGACATAGAAATCAAAGTCCTTTAAAAGGTCCTATTTTATTAATGCGTTTGGTGACAGTCATTTAAGTATGGCTGTCTTCTTACTTATCTCAAATAAACTTTGACCATCTCATGCACTGTTAACAAGCAGGCCCGGCCCCTGCCGAACGGAGTTGCCGGCGCAGCGAAGCGAAGCTGGCTGCTTGGCCTGCCGGCGGCGATGGGCGGGCCTGCGGCCCGACCATTTGTCACGCGATTTGCTGTAGAACATAATCTAATGATGTAACGGGCCTTCGGCCCGCAAGGCCCGTCGTCCTTAAAATTTGCCCCGTAGACACAAGAAAGGGATGTAACGGTGAAACACCGCGACTACAACCCACCCTTCTGCTAAGAAAACGTTTTTTGGGGTGGGGGGAGGGAGTTTCTTACCTCTTTTGCGGTTTTTGGCCTTCTTTTACATTTAATTGTTCACTACAGCAAGTTTTAACTTATTTTCGTCAAACAAGACCCTCTAGCGCCTAAACGGTTAGAGATAGAGCCAAACGGACGAAATTTTGGCCCATAGGGCTCTACTTTGACAAGTTACCCCTTAGGAGACCATCCAATATTTTCGGAAATTAATAAATTTATTGTTGGGCCCTTTTTGTGAGAGAAACTCCCTCTAGCGCCCAAACGGTAGAAGATAGAGCAAAACGGACGAAATTTTCGCCCAAAGGACTCTACTTTTGCAAGGTACCCCTTAGGAGATCATAAAAAAAATATTTTTTTCTCACTTTTTTGACCTACCTTATTTTCTTTGATACCCCCTTTTACCCCTTTACGGGTGGTTGCCAGGATTTGCCGTAGGCGTTTCGTTCTCTAGGAGTGGACCTTAAGATACCCTGAAAATTTCAAGTCTCTAGCACATCTCCTTCT